GAATGTGTTTGCACATTGACAGAGGGGAGGAAAAAGCAATAGACAGATAGAGATGGGGGGGATAAAAGATGCTCTCAGAGGCTGGTGTGTGGTCTTTACCCTGGGGGGGTCGGCTTGCAGGGCAGCCAGGTAGTTCTCCAGGGCCAGACGGCGCCGGTCATTCAGCATGGCCTCCACCCGGGCGAGGTGAGTCTCCACCAGCTGCTGCTTCTCACTGGCTGCCTCCTCTTCCAAGGACTCCACCATGGCTTGGAAGTGCTGTAAACAAAATCATAAACATATATAAATATGTATATGCACCTTAAACTGTACGGCAGAACAAAGCTCTTTTAACTTTTACTTAAAAAGTAAGAAAAAATCCTCTCGGTTTCACTCATGCGCCTCTCAGGCTCGTCAAGAGAGTTAGGGACTCATTTAGAAGTCTCCACATTCAGACAGTGCCCTAATTTAGCCTTAGAGTGATAAAGATAGAGCAGCCGGGGAAAAGGGATCTTTAATGGGACTGGGAGTGAGGGACCCAGGGCCTGTAAGTCATCATATCTCACCAAAACAAAGGGACAAAGGCAGGACTCCCAGGGGGAAGGATCAGTGTCTTACCTGGATCAATGTCTGCCTCTCAGCCTTCGGCAGGTTCTTAGCCTGGCGATCAGCCTCTTCCCACTCTTTTCTTACCTGAAGTGAGAGAGACACAGAGAATGATGGAAGGTGGTCCTCTTGCACCTGTTCACTCAGAGTGAGCCAGACAATTGCCAACAGTAATTTTTGTAAAAGCAGATGGGGTTGGGAGAAACAAAGCCTGTAATTGCATGAAGGTAAGAGACACTTAAAGTATGACCTTGCTCCTTGCCATATTCTTGCCTTCAAATGTTCAAATATTAAGAGTACTTAGAATAGCCAGCCGACTTGCACATTTTCTGGCCCTGAATTCCCTCAGGCAGCAGCTACACTCAGCTGCTCCCCAACAAGCTTAAGAGCTTAATTTCTAAACTTAAACTACAAAAATATTATACTTGTTTCCTACTCAAGTTCTTTAAAAAAAAGAAGCAAAATAGGTCACAAACTGCATCACAGTTACTGATGAATCAGGGATACACGGTAATTATCGAGGATGATAAATTATGGGTCTATAATAGTAATAATTCACTTTGAATTCGTATGCAAAACAATTGATAGGCTATAAAAAGCAATTTTAAAAAAAATTTACAATGTACATAAACTACAGGTTATTGACTAAAATACAAAAATGTCAGAGTATTGGTTTTCTTATCGGTATCGGCCATGAGAAGCCAATTATTGTATTGGCTGAAAAGAAGTCAATATTGTTCATCTCTAATGCAAACACTAGTGTACAGTCTATGAACTCAAATGTTTTTATCTATGGCGACGTTCAAACTGCAAGCAAAACTGACCCAAATCTGCTCATATGTGACTGAGATCTGCTTGTTTCATGACAGTGGAAGAACAATGAAGTGTTAGCCCTCATAAGTATTTGGATATTCACTTTAGAATTTGATATGGGCCACATTTAAAAAATAATGTCAACAGTTCTGAGCAATAACTCAAAATTACAGTTTGAACATAGTTTATGGTTCCTTCTTATTGAGGAAAATGAATGAAGTACAACAGCTTTCACCACATGACTGCCCTCTATTAAAAGAGTAAATGTTCTATAGATTGTGTAAATGTAATGTTTACCACCATGCGATATTCTGTGATAATACTAATGCTTTTATTTTGTAGTTTTTGGCTCAACAGGCAGTTACTTAGCAAACACTGCAGGCAAAACACATCATGTTAAAAGCAAGAAAATCCTCCATCTGGAAAAATATTCTTTAATCAGCTGGTATTGATATGTTTAATTTATTCATATTGTGCAATTAAGCAGAAAAAAATCTGTCTTTTTGCCTCTTTAATTAGGGAAGTGGTGTCCTAGCTTGACATGGTAACTCACCCTTTCCATGCGGTTGCGGTGCCTGATCTCCAGCTGCTCCTTGGCCCTCTGGAAGCGACTGTGCTCCTTGTCGTCGGCCGGGGTCTCGAAGTAGATGTCAACATCATCGGTGGGCTGGGGAGTCGGCGGCATGGCTGCAAATTCAGAAGCAGATGGGTGAGTGGACGGGGCTGCACACTGACAACCAGGCAGACAGACACAGAAACAGACAGACAGGCAGACTGGCTGATCCAGGAAGACATAGGTAGGCAGGAAGACAAAGACAGACCGACAACTGGGCACAGAGAAAGAGAGAGAGAGTTGAAAGTGGAATGCAGATTGAAGTTGGACAAAAATCCTCACAGAAGCACTCCTATCATTGGCGTTCTTCCACCCTCAGTAACTCGGATAAATTTAAAAGAATCTGACAGTCTTTCCTTTTGAATTCCTTTCATCTTCCCATCGGCTTTCTGCTGACAGGTCGCATCTCCAACACTAATGGAAATATTTCTGTGTTTGACGGCTGGGTCATCTGGGGCGATGCCAGAGGGCTCTGTTCTGGGTTCCTCGCTATATAGTCACGCAGGACTCACTCTCTGCACCGCTGTAAGTCGCAAAAAACAACAATGCTCCGGGCTCGCAAACAGGAACACCTCATTGTTTCACCTCACCCTCAAAAACAGGAGGCACAAGGGGTTAACAGATAAACACGTGGTTTCTGCTTTGAACTTGACTGCTTCAGCTCCTACAATGATTTTAGTTCTCAAATGCAGAATCCGACTGGTTATGGCTATGAATTGGGTTTGAACTGATGGAAAGTGAGTCATTGTGAGGTGCAAAAAATAAAATAAAAAAAGGTGCTTGTTGACATGTGCTTGTGGGGGTTCTAGTTAAAGTAGTGGCAGTGCTCTGTGAGCAGACAGACAGATTGTTTCCAGGCAGACAGACAGATTGTTTGCAGGCAGACAGACAGAAACATGAACAAATGGCAGGAATGAACAGCAGACAGGCAAACAAAGAAGAAAGAAAACTCTGGAAAGTGTGTTTGAAGTCGAACACATCGAACACTAAAGTAAGAAGAGATAAGAATGTTGTGTTTTTTTATTTGGTGTTTTTTACTTGAATTTTAATTTTACTTTTGTTTTCCCAATTAAAAATGTATTTTAAAGGTCTGACCTGTTATGCAAGTTAAGCAGGATATTATTTAAAAGTATTGGTACTAAAACCAAAATCATACTTTTTTCATGCATTTATTTGAGTAAAATAAACTTGTTTTTCTGCAAATTCTTCATTTATTAAAAGAAACTTAATGTCTCAACTGGTCAACTTTGTCTAAACACTGGCAGCTGAAAAAGAAACTGGCCTTAAAAAATACACAGTTGGCAAAATTATGGATATAACAACAAGAGTAAGATTTTGAGCAGGTATTAAATGTCAGCTTTCCATATTTTGCAGTTTTCCAATATTTGTGCTACAGACACATTTCAGTTGTTGGCAATAAAGTATTGAGTTTCGATTCCCTCAGTGACAATGTGCAGGAAGTACACTGACTAATCAATGTTTGATTACCGGAGTGAACAGAGTGTTCTCTGAAATATAGATATCTCTGTGGATGCAGTTAGTGTCCAATGTTTTACTTAAATAATAATTAATTAATTAGGAAATACATCCTAATATAAGCTTAATTTATTTCCGTCTCATATTGTTAATATTGAAAACGTCAATAGTTCCAATTTAGTAGAGCATTAACCAAAACTAATGAACCAGTGTGTGCCATAAATGAAAACATTAAGATCAAATTTGTCATTACAAATAGCCTATTTATTAGTGAAGAACTAGATGCAAAATGATATTTTATTCAGTGTAACAGTGCTGAAACTATAAACTGATGAATCTATTGACAGAAAATGAATCAGTAAAAATACTAAATGCTGCTTCCATTGACTTTAATGCGATGATTTGATATTTGATTTAAATTAAATATTATTTTGAACTGTTGCCTTGACAAAACAGGCAATCTGAGCATATGGCTCTAGGAATTTGTAATAAATAGTTTTTTTAATATTTCATTTTCCAGCCTAAAGGATTAATTAAAAAAAGAATTGCCACATTATAATATTTAAAATAACCATTAGTTGCAGCACTGATTATATCAGTGTAATAATAAAACAAAAGAGAAAGATGTCGAGTGGATTCAGTTGTTGTGATTGTCGTGGTGGAGGTGGCATGGTAACAACAGCTGTAGTGATTTGATGAGTGGCAGCTGAAGAGTGCCGAACAGGTGTTCTGCTTAGAAGTCAGGGACAGACTATGTTATCCTAAAGTGTTTTCAGCGGAGAGCTTGCAGCAAAGACACAAACAGAAAGAGAGAGGAGGGGGGGGTGTTTTCAAACCAGCCCCTGTCAGGCGGGACTTACTCAGGCGCTTGCACACGGCCATGCAGTACTCCTCTGAGTCGAAATTGTTGCGGTTGCCGGCACAGCCCCCGTATATGAAGCGCACACACTTCCTCTGGCTCAAGTCGAAGTGCCAGCGGGGCATGGAGGCACGGCAGGGGCCTGTCTCAGCCTCCAGGGTGCACACCGCTGCCAGGGGACAGCTTGTTAGATCATCCGGCCACTAGGGGCAGCACTTAATTCCAGTCTCAATAGCAAAACACTCAGGAAAAAAAAACTACCATCAAACTACTGCTACATCCACAAATATAATTAAACTAAAACAAAACAATAAATATACTGGAAAAGCTCCATTTTGTACATGATGAGCAGGGTTTAACAGCGGTTTGGCAACAAGTAAGGCAGGATGATTTGTCCTTGTACTCTGATAAAGCAGAACAGTACATCACAGTGTCTGCTGTGAGCTAAAGAAAAGGGCATCTGCTGATGCATACACTTATCTAATTACAGTCTGGCTGAGATTTAAGCACATAGCCAATAGTTTAAAAGTTAAAAAGGTTTGATTATATTTAAGTGGTAGGCAAAGTGCCAATAAGAGAGGGGGAGAGAGAGAGAGATGGTACATTATAATTTAAAACAACTCATTACAAACCTTTTACTTCCTGCAGAGTCTTGTCCTCATCTTGGCTTTCTGACATTTTGCTGCTCTCTTTCTTCTCATCCTCGTCCTCCTTATCTGCCTCCTCGTCTTCGTCCTCGTCCACGGGATCCTCTTTTTGTGTTGGCTGCTCGTCAGCTGGGGTCTCACTGAGGGGAGGAGGAGGAGGAGGGGGAGGAAGAGGTGATTGAGTGAAGGGGTGGAAGCCAGGAAGAGGAGTGATTTATCAAAGGAGGCAGAGCAGCTGCCATAGGTCAATGTCACAACACGTTAATTCATCCAGATGGCCGGTAATACCCGCCCTTCGCAAGAGAGCCCATCTCACGCTCACAATATTTCAAGACATGCCATGCAACACAACCACACACGACCACAGACTTCTGAACCACTCACCTGTCCTCCTCCTCCTCGACCAGGTCGGCCTCGTCAATCTCCTCATCCTCTATCTCCTCCTCTTCGTCGTCCTCCTGGGAGGGCAGGGAAGGTGGAGCGGACTCCCCGATGCGAGAGGAGGGGCAGCACACGTACTCAGTGCCGTGGAACTTGTCAATGCCACAGGGCAGCAGCATGCCGTAGCTGTGCAGCACCATGGAGCTCTTGGCACAGGCCTGGCAGGGTAGAAGAAGTGAGCTAGTGATGATATTGACTGAACATGGCACGTGGGTTTCAGATTGATGAAGCTGTCGTGCTTTCTAGGACTCTCACTAGTACTCTCAAGTATCAATTTTAGCTTTGACAAGGTGATATTAGTTTAACCTTTATTCGTCAGGGGAAAGATAAAAAACAACGTCAACAATGATGCCCATGCCAGATGGAGGAGCGTGTGAGTCATGGTGGGACGAAACTGCAGAAGTTTTATTAATTCAGTCTCATGATCTTGTTGACTTGCTGCAGTAGGGCTCTTGTTTTTAATTTTTTTTAAAATTAGAGGCCCAAAATACCCGAAGTTTTTCAAAAGGAGGGAATCCCCATTGATTATTTTGGTCTTCATAAATCCAAAAGTTGTTGCATTTTTGGTAACACTTTATTTGTATAGTCTGCCTACAGACAGTTTATAGTGTATTTGTAACATTTCAGCAGCTTATTAGTTGAGATTCAACATCTGTTTTCTGATATTACACCACTGTGGTTTTTAGGTTTAGACACAATACAACATCTCAGTTAGAGTATGTTCATGAATTGTCACATTTACAAATACATATATTATCATAATATAATAATATAATATACATTCTGTAGGTGGACTATCCAGATAAAGTGTTACCACATTTTCTCCTGCAAGAAGAACAACTAACCACAGATTACAGTAAATGATGCCCTCTTGCCCCTCGAAGCAATTAAAACACAAAACATGGTTCAACTCCAGAATCTTTCACCTTCTGGGTTTTTATATTTTTTATTATTTAATTACATTTTCATTTATTTCTTAAATAATTGTTATATGTATTATTATAGATGATAAATATGATATGAACATATTTGTAATAACAATAAAGATTTGTAAAGAAACCAAAAAACTACTGAAAGTGAATCGATATTTCAGTTTGTTTTAGTTTTAGGAGAAACTTAACCTTTTTGTTATTAAGCCCACACAAACCAATGAACTACATACACAGCCAACTTTAGGTGACTAGCACTATCAAATAGGTTTAGCAAACTATAAAGAAGAACTTCCTGTTTGTAATCAAATAGTGTAAAGTAATATTTAAATTGGACTCATTTACTGTGTGTGTTCAATGACTTGCAGAAATCTTATGCTAAGACAGCATTCTCTATCCTTTCAGATGTTTACTGTCCAGCCTCGGAGATGCTCCCTGTATTTATTTTATGACTCCTAGTATGGTTCTGGTCCCTTGCGGTTACCTGACACAGTTACAGATCTATCCATGTACATAATACAGACATACTGATTTTAGAGCTAGCTCTCTTGTCACATACTGACTAAAGTGATAAATGGGCCACACTTCCAAAAAGTCATGAGGCCCTTTAACAAACTGGCAATTTTTCAACAATGCTTCAAATAGCAGCTAGGAGGTACCGAACTCAACTTCAGTGTAACGGATGGCTGCTGAGAAACTCCACTGGAGCAGTCGAGGATTAGCTGCCCTGCTTAAGAACATCTCAGTGGCAGTTGGTGAGGGAGCTGAGATTGTTTTTGAATCATTTATTTTTTTTTTACCCAGATTTTCCCACTGGTAAGATTTATTACTGCTCGGCTGTAACAAATTTGTTATCGACTGCAGGTTATTTGTGCCTCTGGATGTCACAGTATCTGCTGGCTGCAAGGCTGCAGATGAAACTTGGCTTCGGGCGTTTGTAATAGGCTTCGGAGTAAGAGTAAGAGTCATGAAGCATGAGGCAGGGAGAGACAAGAGCAGACGGTTGATGGGCTCAGAGAGCTGCCTGCTGCTCGTACTGTCGTGGTCAGAGTGGCCCCCTAGGGCCGGCTCCCGAGCTGCCCAGGGGGGATTAGTTGCATTACAGCCACAACACTAATCTGATTAGGAGCTGAAATGTGAGGGCTCCCAGTCAGCCTGCGATCAGAGGGCCTCAGAGACTCACAGAGACAGGTGGAGAGGTATTAGGGAGGGAAGAGGAAAGATTGGAAAGCAATAAAAGTGTGACGGGGGGACTTAAAATTAGTTTAGTTTAATTTCTAAAAGTTAAGTTGATGCCTAAGACTTCTTCTTCCCACAGGAGTTTTCTTTTCCATTGCTCTGCTATCTCTGAGATACAGCCTCCCACTGTTTCCTGTGAAGTTATTCTTTCCTTACCTCTTTGGCCACACCGTGCCATTGCTGATGGCTGACGCACATGTCCATACGCTCCTTGTGAAAGAACTTGCACTTCTCTGGAACCAGAAGTACGTCACTCACGAACTCGCCCACTGTAACAGCAAATCACATGGATCAATATGCCTGTTAGTCATGCTACCAATCTGTCCAGAAGAAAATAATACAAAATCACTCCCCTGCCTGGTTACTGCCAGGGTTAGAAACAATGAATCCCCAAGTGGGACTAAAAAAGGAATAACAGATGAGATGAGTGAAAAAAATGGCATTATTCAATAATTCATAGCTGTCTGATCCTTTACATTTCATTACAGTGGCGTAACAGAAAGGCCATTTGACACTTGAACATCTGTCCGTGCACCTGAACCCGAGAGGGATTTATGAGGGATATTCTACACCGCATCTGTAATTCTGCAATCAAAATGGCAGTGGATAAAATCAGGTTTCACACTCTTTAAAGGTAGTCCAGACTCTTCCTGCGAGTCAATGATATCATTTGCTTGATGAATTCAATTCGGAGATGTTTTATTCATAGAACGAGCTGACAGAAAGCAGATCTAGGGGAAATAAAAGACATGAAAGCCATCTTGTGAATTCCTATGAATAGTTTCAGGTTGAAAACCATGTGCGTGCAAGCA